CCTAAAGGCACTGGAGTTTGCTAAGTAAAATATGGTAAATATGTCAATTTGCTCTAGGTCACCGCATGTCCTGCACATCTTCAGTTAGTCTTCAGTGCTGCCAAGAAACACTATTATGTTTCTCAAAGTAGCTGCTATAAAACTTTTCCATTTTCTTCAAGATTTAGCCTTACATATTTGAGAAGAAAACATGACAAATCTAGGAGAAAATGCTGATAGCTCCATGTTCACAGTATCCTGGAAGGGAAAGCTGGATGGTAGGCTTTAGACTTTAAGTAGCAAACTTCATAAAAGTCTGAGAAATATAGGCATGAATGCCACTGCAAGAGTTTCTAAAGGGAAAGGTGATTTAAGAAGATTGGGAAGCTCTTAAAACTGTAAATCTGATTACATAATTACAAATCATTCCAGGCAGGAACTACCAATGCGACTTTTTAATTACGTTGGAGAGATTCTACTACCAAATATTAAATATTAAACACTAAATATGTTGTGTTGTATGACAAAAAGCACTGGCTCCCAAAAGCCAGCAAGGGCTGGCTAAGAACTAAGAACAGACTACTTTTGGGATTTTGATAGCATTACAAGACTAAAATTCATTTAAATGTGCAATGTATAGAAAAATGAACAAGGCACTTAGGTAAGATCTCTCACAACAACTGTAAGAACAAGATGGACAATAACTCTAACTAGAGGTTTCCCCTTAAATGGAGGCACCAAAGCATCACTGGAGGTGCCAGAGAAGTAGTGCTATAGCAAAGAGGAGGCCAAGATCAAGGACCTCCTTATGAACCTTCTTTCCAAAGTTACTAATACCAGATATTCCATCAATAATTATAGCCCATTCAATCTTTTTATTAAATATCTATACCATCTAACTTTGGCATTCTATACCTGATTTGTGTACTTATTTGTATGCTATAATTGAGCATTGATTTTGAAGTCACAGAACCTTAGGTTCTCAGCATTTTCTGTTCCAAACTCCTCCCCCACTATTTTCTAGCTTAATTTATGGCACATCTTCTTAGGCAATTTGGCTCAAGACCTTGGCGTCATTAATTCATTTTCACCTCCTCAACTGACCAGCTTTGTCCTAAGGTATCCTTGTCCTAAAGTTGCTCACAGTCAAGTAAAATACTTAAATCAGCAATTGCAATCCAAATATATCTAGTGACATTAATGGTATTAGTAGAAGGTATGAAAACACCCAGAAGGAGGCCTACAAGTCAGGGAAGACTTTTTGAGTAGACATCTGAGTTGAATTTCAAAGTTGACTATTTCACCAAGCAATTGCTGGAAAGCCATGATGGGAAAGAAGTGTCATATGCAAGTTTGGGGCACAAACAAAGATGGCCAGCTTAGGAAACAGCAAACACTGAGGCACTTTGAGAGACCAGCACAGTGACAGCCAAGGTGCTTTCAGGACACTGAAATTGCCACAATCATCTACCCTCTCACCCAAGTCTGAGATCTGAAAGTTCATTTAAGATTTGACCTTCTCCTTCATGCCCAATTTCTAATCAATCATCACACCTAGGAGAATTTACCTTTTTAATTTCCCCTGAATCCTTTTGCTGCTCTTGTTTCTGCCACTAAAGTTCCTTTGTTTCAGATTCTTCTATTTCTTGTCTTCCTAAAATAGCTTATAATGACTCTGGTTGCCAGCTGTGTCCCTTCCTATCCATTCTGCACCCACAGTCCAAGAGATTTTGGACTGTGAAGAACCCTCTGGCCCTTCAAGAAAATGTTCCTGGATTTCCCCTTCACCAGCCCACCCTAAACTTCCAGAAAGTTATTTTATTCATATGGAAGAACTTACAATATTCTGCTTCGTATTATAGTTGGAGCTCAAAGAAATGTTCCATGCAATGCAAATGCTTTATCCATGCTCCTTCCCAAAGAGTTCAGTCCCTGTCTTACTAACTGGGCAGTGGGTCATGAAAGCCTGATTCCCTCCTCGGGTTAAAACTACTGACCAGTAAAATACATGTTTTAGGCTAGACAGGAATTCTGTATTGTGATCTGGACTTCAGTATGTGACGTGAAGAAGACTGACCATACAAGCTACCGCACAGGTGGATGTTTCCAAAGAGTAATGAGATAGAAAAGATACCACATGGTGGTTTGACTGGCCAGGGTGATTGAGAGAGAAGTTGTAGTTCCTTTGCTGCCTTGTTAGTTCTGAGTTGCTCTAAGACTCCCTCTATTTCTTGCCCTGGGTTTTAGAAAAGCCACCAGCTCTTATAGTATCCCCCACTTTTATTTAAATACGCTCAAGTGGTAGTTCATTTCTTAGAATCAATTCATTCCTATTTCATTTGCATATAAGTCCTTCTGCACAAGATTACAGTCTCCCGGAATAAAAAAACTCTGGCTTGTTTACCTTTGTATTTCTCAAATAACACAGCATAGTATCTTACACATGATTAATCAAAACCTGTCTGGTGAATTGAATTTAACCACCAAACAGGTATACATTGTGTAATTATTAATTATTCACTATCAGTAGCAACTACACAAGAAGAAACAGCTCAATACCATTAAGGACAGAGGCATAAGGGTAGGGAAGAAATTTAAAAAGAAACCACTTAGCTAAATTCAGTTTTCAAGTACAGTTTATGTAGAAGCTGACCACACATTCACATCCACAGCAAGTAGTACCTCATGTCCCTCATCAAGCCTGGAAAGTTTAGGGAGGAAACCTATGCTGTTCCTAGCACAGCATGTTCAGGCTGGCAAGAAGTGACCTCAGTTCCTGAAGAGCAGTAACTGATAGCCAGAACAAAAAGGCAAGGCGACCACCAGCATACTCAACAGCTGCAGCCCTCGCCCTCATGTGACAGATGTCATCTGAGAACTTTTAAAGTAAATTTTCTCAAAGATTTGAAAAAATGTACTTCCAGAAAAGATCATTTTGGTGTCTTTATATTAAGAAGGCAGATAAAAGGTTAGCACATTTTCTACCTAAATATGATTATCTTCAAGTTTTATTTTGGAAATTACACAATAACATGATTATCATTTTCAAATATTCTTTCTTCTGATCCTGCAAGTATGTTTTCTACTTCCAAAGCTTGACTCCCCTTATGGCTGTTGCTGCACTTATCCACACACAAGGATTCTGGATAAAGTGAGGGCTCATTAAAGTAATACAAGAACTCACACCAAGAAGATTTCCTGACTACACCCTTACAACTTGAATACTAAGGAAGAGGTCTAATCAAGTATGCACAATGGGATATGGCAGAAAGGCAGATAAAAGACAAGGCTGGATTTCCTGGTTTGATGTGAAAGTCTTCCCGTCTCACTGCCAAGCAGAGTGTGGCAACATAGTCAACAGAGGCCAGGTGGCATGGCAATCATCAGGCCTTTTGAGTTGATGGTGAGAAACTGGCAAGCCTGTGAGAAGGACTATTTAAGGCTCAAGAGGTTGACGTCACTCTTGGATAAAGAGTTAGGCTTAAAACTGATGACACTGCAATCATACCACTTAAAAGCAAAAAAGAAAGCAGAACGATTTCTAAGTGGCTCTGAGATCATATAAATCACACTGATCCTCACATAACTGAAAAATGGCATAGAATGGTGTTTCTTAAATTGCATCCGTGTTTCACACAGATTTGATTTGGCAGAACGTTAGGGCCATCCACTCAGTACTGGCTCTCATAACCACAGAACATTCCTAGAAGTATTCATCCTATACAAGTTAGATGACTAAAAAACAAGTCCCTAAACTGGACTAAAAGTATAAGTCTAACTTAAATCTTTCATTTTAGAAGGCATCACCCTATTCAGGCTTAGCATGCTGTGCTGACTCTTGTATACTGTATACTGTATTTCCTGTGAAGCAAAAGCTAGACATCATAATAAAGGCCTAAAGATATAGCTAAAATAATATTACTTGCTTTTTTCAAAATGAATACAAAGAAGAAAATAGACACAGCTTTTGATCAGACACCTAGGTCCAGCCATTTCTTTAAATCAAAATGAAATAGCCATTCTTGAGGCTCTAAGGAGTTTCAATATGAAGTGTTTTCCATAGGCTCAGATGTTGAATGGCTGGCCCCCAGATGGTGATGTTGTTTTGGGAGGTTCTGGAAGCTTTAGGAGGTAGGACCTAGATACTGGTGAGGAGAGGGAGGATTGTCTTTGAAGATTACACCTTGTCCCCACACCCTTCCTCATTCTCTCTTCCTGTCTGTCATTAGGTGGACAGCCTCCTCTTCCACATGCCCTCACAACCATGACGTTCTGTATCACCATGTGCGCAGAATCAACAGAGCCAAGGAGTATAGAATGAAATCTCTGAAAACATTAGCCAAAATAAATCCTTCCTCCTTTAGATTGTTTCTTTTTTTTTTTAAACACCCCCCTTTCAGGTTGTTTGTATCAGGAATTTTGTCACACTGAGGAGAAAAGTAGTTAATACAGACAATGTCACATATATTTAAGTTAGATGGATTTCTGACAGTTTCAACAAAAAACATAGTACCCATTTTCCTGCTTTAATGGGATAATTTAGTTTTTAATGCCATAGATGAAACCTTTGGCATTGGTCAAATTGATTGGAAGATCAGTACTAAAAAGCACACCATGAATGCATGCCGTTATATTCATATTTTAAGGCAAAGAAATCAGCTCTCCTCTGAATATGGTGGTACTTTGCATATCTTAACATAAGCATCTGAAAGAAGAGGACTGGCTGCTCAATGCAAGGAATTCTCTGCAGCACAAAAGTATGAATGGCATTCATGACATTGCCAGAAATAAGCAGTCTCAGGATGTACTTATATTTTATGCAAAACAAAACAAAAACATGATTGCTTGACAACTCAAGGAATCTAAAAGGTGACCAGCTGAAATGGCAGCTAAGGGTAATGTCTGAAGAATTAGGCCTAAACTGCACAAAGTATCATGGCTTTTTTACACAAAAAGTTACACAAAAAGTTCACTGGAGTTCTCCCTGTGACCTGTGGTTTTTCTTGTCAGAGATCACCTACCCCAGGGCAAAATTGCTGTCCTCCTTCCAGTCTACAATGCGGCAGATGAACAGAGTATTGGCATAATCTTTAGGCCGGGTCACAAAGTCCTGGGGACAGTCCTTGAGAGGTACATAAATTCTAGGCACTCGGTGGTCTGAAGGAGAAAATAGAGCATATTTCCTAAACAATTCACTGTTCTTATCTGCCAAGAGTTTGAGGACGCCGGTTGCTGCTCGGGAATGTTTTTTCTCCAAGATGTAAACCACCTGAAAACACCAAAGACAAAGTCAATCTTGTTTGGTTACAGAACTAGACATTAGGTGGAGAAGTCAGCAGGATATTATCTAGTCAACTAGTTTGGTCCAGCAGATTTTAGAGGTCACCATGAAGCACCTCTCAGTGATGCTCTGTGACTAAGTAATACATAAAATGCTACAGCTTAAGGTATATATATATACAAGAAAAAAGTGCTTTCCTAACCGTGGCCTTGTCTTATGGAGACAGACTCCAGCAGGGAAGTTCAACTCCAGGTATTTGTTTCACATTATATTTCTCCTACATGAACAACATAGTAACTGCTTTTAAAACTGTCATTAAGCATAAATAAGTTTCTGTCCTTAATCAAGTTAAATCTTCTATTTCTTTACTGAGATTTCCTAGAGAATTTTTTTTTTCAAGAGAATTCTAATTGCTTGCTGAAGCATTTTCATAATGGCAATTGTTGGGCCCTTGTCAGTTAACTGCAATAGTTTGCTATTGGCATCTATGAATGTCTTTTCTCACTCAAGTTGTGAGTTTCCTGGTTCTTGGTATGATGAGTGGTTTTAATTGTATCTGGGTCTTACTTAAAAGCTTCATTTTAGAAGGCAATCACCCTATTCAGGTTTAGCTGCAGGTTATGGCCTACTAAACTAAGCTGTATTTCCAATGACAATTTCATTTTCAGAGCCTTTGCAGTATCAGTCTCTACCTATGAGATGGAAAGGACAGACCACCTACAGGTATGGAATAGTAATCTCCGGTCTGCAGGGACAAACAGTTTTCCCATTTGGGGTTTTTTTTCTTGTAGCAGGATCTCCCTGGCTAATGTCACTTGGCTGCCTGGTGGCTCTACAGGAGGTCGAAGGAGATTCCCATGGCAGGTGATTTGCTGTAGCACGATCCTTTTTACTGGTGTCCTCAGGCTGTCTGGTGCATCTCAGGGAGAGAGGTGTATCTCTGGCTCAGGGGACAAAGAGGGTTCCTAGGCTGAGTTGCTTCTTGTGATAGGATGTCTCTTGCTGGAGCCACTAAGATGCTAGAGAGAAGTTTCAAATCTAAGGGGAACGAAGGGGGTCTTCCCCTGGCCACTTACTTTCATCAGGGCACCCAGGCAATTCCCCTTCTGCTGCTGGTATTTTTGGAGAATCATCTGTTAGATCTGAGGGGACTGAGTCTCCTGGGCCACCTTCGATTGCTAGGCTAGGATTCAGAAATTCTGGGTCTGTGTCACCCTCTGATGGTAGGGGCTATAAAGTTCCTGCAACTATATAGTTTCTCATCCTGCAGTCACTAACCAGTTTGCCCTCTTTTCACCTTTCAGAGTTCTCCTTTGGTTGCCTCTTGTTTCTTTTGCAGGACTTATAGTTGGACTTAGTAAGAGGAGAATAAAATAAGTCCATGCCATCCTGTCTGAACCAGAAGTCGGATAAGACTTAATTTCTGACACCAGCTGGGCATTACTGTGATTCACACAATGTTAGCTGCCATGCTAACTAATTTATGCTATCTAATATAGCATAAATTTTACATGTAAGTGCTGCTTTTGCCTTATAATCTTAGGTTGAATTCATTGAGAAACATTAATCAAAAGAGAGAGGAAGGAGGGGTGGACATGGTTAGAGGGTGATAGCAAATTAGAGAATACAAGTCTGATGGACAGAGGCTGCCTCTACCCAGCTCTGACTACAGTTACTGAGGACTATGGCCCAGTGCTGCCAGATGTTGTTTTTTGTTTTATGTAAGCTATTAAGTGAAAAATTTTAATACTGCAGAAGTAAAACAAAGCAAGTGTACAAAGTATATGTATCCTACATATACTATACACACATATAATTCAGAAATTCCTCAGGTCAAGAAAAGAAAAAAAAAAAAGGTGCTAGTTCACACCAGCTAATTCTAGCTACTTGGGAGGCTGAGATTGAGGAGATCACTATTCAAGGTCAGCCCAGGCTAATAGTTCACCCAATAGCTGAGCATGTGGCATATACCTGTCATCCCAAGCTACGTGGGAGGCTAAGGGTTGTGGTCCAGGCTGGCCTGGGTGAAAAGTGAGGCCCTATCTCCAAAATGAACAGAACAAAAAGGGCTGGAGGCATGGCTCAAGTGGTAGAGCACCTACCTAGAAAGTGTGAAGGCCTGACTTCAGACAAATCAACAAACAAACAAGACACAACCAAAGGAAAACTGAAAGGTGAAAAGAGGAAGGAAACTAGACCCAGCCCCCAGGCTACCAATTCATTATAATCTTCCCCACCTTGCATATTGTCTGGTTCATGGTTAGTCCTCAAAATGCCTACTAAAGTGAAAATCTGGATAACTAGGTGGGCAATGGGAGTAACACACATATGGTACAATTTAGAAATTCCTCATGTTGACATGTAAGAGACATACTCTCTAACTGGTTGGTGTGTGGGGAGGGTAGGGGGTGTCACACTTATTCCTAGGTTAAACATACTGATGGATGCCTCTGGTACATGAAGCCTCATACTATAATGCCACTTTAGTTTTGCCCTTGTACCACTTTTGCCACCATGAGCTATTTGCACAGCTAGTCTACTATGTTTGGTCCCATATCTGAAGATGACACTTGCATATATAAATTTTTAATTGAATTATGCAAAACAATGAAACAGAAATGTAAAAAGAATTATTATTTATAAGATAATTGAGTTGAATACTTTGGAAAATTTTTAAGACTTCTTAAAATTTTATTTTTTTGAATTAGTTATGGGCATGATGATAAAAAAAACAGGAGAAAAAACTAAAAACCTAAAAGAAGTATATATTCATGCTTCTCCAACATCTAAATTCTTACTCTACTTTAAATAACTGAAAGTGGAAGTTAGAAATGATTCACTGCAAGTGGGGTTTAAGCAAGAGAGATAATGCAAAACTTCAAGCATACCCACACTCAAGGAAAAGGTCTTATTCCTCTACCCAAACACAGGCAAATGAATATATGCTTATATGATTAAAGTTAAAAAAAAAAAACCAACAACAATATCACTTTTCATAATTCTCTACTTCTACTAACTTTTTGATTAAGTGACCAACTACAGTCTCAACTGAACTACATAAGATACTGACAAGTAGCCAAAGTGAGGGCCGTTTAGACAAGTGGAGAAAATCCATAGGTAATGACCTTTGCTGACTTCTGTAGTGACTTCTCTGATAAAGTTCTTGGGTCTTGCAACATGGAGGTGCTATCATCTTTTAAAACTGGTGCACTAGAACTCGTGTTTCCTAAATTAGAAAGAGAGAGAAAAGAGAGAAGAGGAGGAGTCTGTTAGCTGCATATTCTTAGGCATACAGAGATTTTTTAATTCAGATCGGGAAAGATTCTTGGATGCCATGTATCCCATGCCACCCACAGTGGTTGGTGACCTGGCTAGGTCACATACCTATATTAATGTTCACACTGAGCACTTGGGCCTCAGCAGGCCATATTTGAGCTATTCAACATTATTCATATACTAAACATCACACAAGTGTAGAACATCAAATATGATGAATTAAACTAAATGACCTATGAATCAAAATGCTTAAAAAAAAAAAAACAACCTAAATGCTAAATACTGCCCCAGCACACAATGATGAAAAGATAGGCTAATTTATAATGCACATCTGCTGAAATAAAGCAAAATGAAAGTAAATGTTAACTTTTAAAAGTACTTTGATACTAGTAAAATGGTGATAAGCAAAATGGTGGAAAATAGATTCTATTTTAAAAATAAATAAATAACCCAACCCTGATTTTCATGGCTTTTCTTACTGACACTGTATAAAGAATAAAAATACTTAAAGCATTTTAATGTTTAATTTTCATTTTTAAAAAAAACAGATAAAATGCACATTCACCCAAGAATACTGAGACGCTATCTCCCAGGAAAGAAGCAGCGAAGCTCTATACTAAAAGTATTAAAAACATTAATGAACAAACAGCAAGTTATACACTTTTGAACACTTAATTTTTTGTATTTTCATTTGTTACATTAGAGTTCCCCCACAAAATATTCTTATCCAACTATATTTGAGTTTCTGAATTCTAGGAGTCACAAACCAATTCACGTGGGACCAAATCCAGGGAGTTAAAAGTTATATTTATCATCATTTAGATATTCCTAAAACAAAAATAAATAAATTCATTCTTCTCAAGACTAGCTGCCTCTTAAAGGCTCAGCTTCAAGCCAACTTTTACCATTCTGGATATGCACTAGAAATATTGCCATGATCTGACTTACTGGAGCTTGGGAATGATCAACTGTGTGCTTTTCCATCCATGCTGAAATCTACCCATCAAAGTATGGACTGAAAGCAGAATTTTCACAGTCTTCCAAAAAGAAAACACAAACTTTCCCATTGCAGATAACCTCTCCATCAGAAAAAGAAGGGCAATCATCCAAGATCATCTTTTAAGCCCAAAATTCAGGATTCCAAAAACATCAGATCCTTGCAGAACAATGTTTTTTGTTTTTTTGTTTTTTTAATAATCTCAGGAATACACATGCATGTACACACACATACCTTGTACATCTGTTTGTTTCACCATATACCTTGCCAATGTGTTCTGCAGAATAAGGTAATTTAGGGAAGAACAGGAAGATGAAATTATGAGTATATACTTCTTACATATCTAATACCTAAGTTTTTGGTCTCAAAAAAGCTGGCAATCAAGTTAGGATAGTGAGAAGACAGCTTTTTCCATGGCAACTTAAACCCTGGGCAGGCAGTTTTCTGGGATGGTCTATCTTAAAGTGACTATTACTTCAGTTTCCACCCCAACAACAGAGAATCTTCTGTTCCAAAGGTTATACTGGGTCACAAACAAAAAGAGAGAGCAAGCCATGGTAGTGGGGCCAAGCATGATTTACAGATACCACACGTGAACATGGCCTTTTCAGGTTCTCCATTCATAAGGTTATCTTGGGGAAAAACAGGGCTTTGTTCAAAGTTACAGTCTAATAAATTACACTGAAGTTTATATGCTTAAGAATCATAGATATGGTCAATTAATTAAAGAAAGAAAATGCCAAGATAGAAAGGCGAATCACCTTAATATATTTGCAACAACTATGTCTTGCCACAATGAACAACAAAGTTGTCAATTTAATGAAAGATGCTGTATTATTTAATCACAAGATCATCTATTTATTCATATTCCATGTGCAGTTATCAAGCACTGGTTACTGGAGAAATATGGCACAAGTCCTCAGGGAACATATATAGGCTAATGTGGAAATGATACAAGTATCACTCAATAAATATAAACTTATAAATTGTGAAGAGTTTGAAGAAAGTCCTAAGGAGGAAGGGGAAAGGACATTTGATTCAGATTAGAAGGCAGAGAAAGGCTTGTGCAGGAGTAACAAGAAGGTCAAAAGACCCACCAGCAAGAAATGACAAGTGAGAAACTGTGGTAGCAGGAAGATCTTCACGCAATAAAAGACCAGATAGAGGACTATGCAGCTGAGCACAATGAGTAAGAATGGGCAATGTAAGAGATGAGAAAGAGGGATAGACAAGAGTCAACTGAGGTATTACCTTATAGAATACAGGAGTCTGGAATTCAAGCCTAGACACAATGGGAAGCTGATTTGTGTGCAAGAGTGGCATTGCTTGAGGCAAGATTAGAGCAGGCTAAGATGATGTGGACAGACCAGTGAAGAGCTACTGCAGAATACCAGTCATGAGAAGATACAGCCATGATGCAGACAGTGGAGACATGAAATTAAGATATATTTTGCTGTTGAACTGACAGACTGGTGGTAATTTGGTATGAGAGCTTAAGAATTATTAGATATGAGAACTGAAGGATTATTTCAGTTTTCTAACATGTTCAACTAGGTAGATGGAGGCATCATTTAAGAAAGCCTAGAGAAGGAGGTATAAACATTAAGAGTTCTGTTTCATAGGTGCTTATACATGCAAGGCTATCTCTGAGACCATCAGGGAATGATGCTGCATTCAAAGCTCAACACAAAGGTCTGGAATTCAAAAGAGAGAGAAGGGCTATGACTTATTTTTTTGTTGTTGTTTGGTTGGTTTTTTGGTGGGACTGGGGTTTGAACTCAGGGCTTCATGCTTGCAAAGCACTCTACCACTTGAGCCATACCTCCAGCCCCCGGCTATGGCTTTAAATACAGCTTACATACTGTGCACTTCCATATTTATACTTTCAGTCCAATGTGAAGAGCAGAGACTCAACCCAAGTCTGGTCAACTATTAAATCCATGAAGCTCTTCCACTGCTCCTGCCATTCTATATACAAGTAAGGATCAATGCACTGTCACTGCTAAGGAAATAAAAACTTCTCTGAGAAAGTGGCTTAGGGCTTGAAGGATGTATAGATATTTCAAAGAAAAATAAGGACATCAGAAAGCATTCCAGGGAAAGACCAGGATTATGAGAGGAGCTAACATGATAAAAGTCTAGTAAGAGATTTATGGTAGCTTCCAACAGGTTAAGGACATAGATGGGAAAGGACTGGGATGTGGGAAGGAACAAGGCTGGCAAGGTAATGGGACAGGTTCTGTGGCAGAGATTCTAATTACTGTCCAATTATCTAATCTCTCCTTTCAGTGGGGAAGCCTAGTTAAAAGATCATAACCTTCTGCCAGGCATGCCTAAGTTTTAGCCAAAAAGATGTGGGCAGAAAGTGTTGTTAGTGACTTTCAAGAAGTATTCTTGAAGGGCAGAGACCTAGACTTCTCTCTTTCCTCCTCCCTGCTGTCTAGAATGTGGATTTGATAGCTGAACCTTGAACATCCATCTTGATCCTGGAGGCTACAGGACAAAGGTGTTTCTTACAAAAGGAGATAAAAATTTTGAGCTCCTCTACAAGCTATGACCTACCTAACTTTGGTCCCCTTTTGTGTGAGAGAGAAATAAACTTATTTAAGCCATTGATATTTTAGGATATGAAGCTGTTTTCATCAGAATATATTTTCTAATATGCAGGTCCAGACAGGGAGACTGACAAACTTAGACACCATCCCATACAGCATTCTAAAAGCCAGGGAGGGGCTGGCAAAGTGGCTCAAGTAGTAGAGAGCCTGCCTAGCAAGCATGAGTTCCTGAGTTCAAACTCCAATGCTGCCAAAAAAAAAACCCACCATAAAAGCCAGGAAGGTTTTCTCTCAAAAATTACCCACCACATATTTCAGGGCTATGAATTTCGTAGCACTCTTGAATGAAAACTGGGGTTACAGTCTAAATTGAAACACAATCAGAACCTAAATCAAGACAGTGACAGTGACAATGAACTAGAGAGCTAGTTTAAAGAAGGATGCTGCTAGTATGTCATTACTATAAATAATTACTATGGGAAAATGGACTTAAATTAAAAGTGCTTCTGACAGACTCTCAGGGATAATGCTTTTGGCAGAGCAAGAAAATACCAGAATGAACAACAAGAACAGCACAGAGTGGCTGGTAGCCCTCAACAAGGGAAAAGGTTAAATGTCCCCACAGCCTTTACCTTTGCTGTACTGAAGACAGCTGTCAAACTCTTTTGTCTTTTCTGTTTCAAATAATTATAGATACAACTTCCAAAATTCTCATTTAAATTAAAATTTTCTAAAAATTGTACACTCCAAGCAACTTCTCAAAATACCCTGAGGAATATTATAGGAAGAAAAGTCCAGAGAAATCCTAATCTCTTTCTGCAGATTATCTGAAATTTCTAATTAAACATTTAAAAAGTAAAATGGACAGTTTGCTGGATTTGGTACTATCACTTGCATAAATACAAGTACATACTCAACACTTATTTTGGTAAGAAAAATTGTTGCAATATGGTCATCTGTTACAGAAACAATGGACTGACAAGTTTGATGATTCTTAATACTTTATAAGCACATTAAAGGTTTTCAGAATGGGGTGTGATGGCTCTTTGCCTATAATCCCTCTACTTGAGAAGCAGAGATTGGGAGGATCATGATTCAAGCCAACCCAGGCAAAAAGTTAGTGACACTTCATCTCAATAGGCACCTATTACCCCAGCTAAGTGGGAGGTGTGAATAGGAGGATTGAGGTCACAGGCTGCCACCAGGCAAAAGAGAGACCCTACCTGAAAAATAACCAAAGCAAAAAAAAGTGCTGGGGCATAGCACAAGTGGTAGAATGCCTGCTTAGCAAACACAAGGCCCTGAGTTCATATCCCAACACTGAAAGAAAAAATGGTTTTCAGAGGACTAAACTGTGATAGGAAGTCAGAGAAACAGAAGAAAAAGCAAGGAACTTAG